ACCACACCACACCACACCACACCACACCACACCACACCACACCACACCACACCAAACCGCACCATACCACAAAAAATTGTATGCTCAGAGATTCCTTTCAAGAGGGACCGAGTTATCCGAACAAAAAGGTCGTACGTCTAGGCGCGTGCAAATTTAGACGTAACGTAACTTATTTGATTTTATATAATTAAACAGTATGTATACAGGTCAGATAAACTGACTCAACCTGATAGATGAAAATTCACTGTAAAGTCGCGCAAGTCTCTTGCTCATTTTTATAGAGGCTTATATAAGATATCATACCTGGATTGTCCTCTCGCGTACATGTTACCCTTTGCTTCCCATAGTTAAAAAGGTTATAATTTTTACTATTTTCGGCGGATGAAAAACACTCGACGATGCCCTGCTGTCCTCCATATTCACTAACCAAGTTAAAAGGCTCTTGGTAATGAAGAGCTTTTCCATATTTCCAGAATGAATCAACATCAACTGGTACAATCTGCAGTCAAGAATCATACAAGATTTTATTTACTGTTGAATCCCAACACACACCTTGAATCCGAATAGACCCCTAGCACTGAGTCCCGAGAGGAATTGTTCTGGGGGACAAAACAATGGATTTTTTTTGCATAAGAGAAGACGGCCTTGCTTTTTCCCCTAGAGCAATTCCTATAGGAAATCAATGCAAGGGGTCTATACCGCATTATATGAACTATCCTATTAAAAATTGTTATAATAGACCAAATTCAAAACTCGCACCGATGTGAGGCTTAAGTTGTGAAAAAAGGAATCTGGTGTGATTCGTGACTTTTGAATCAGACCAGATTACATTGAGTCACGCCAGATCCCTTTGTTCACAACTTAAGCCTCACATCGGTGCAACTTTTGAATTTGGTCTATACGTTAAGTGTAAAACATGTAAAACAAACTAATGATTTAAAGAAATGTTGTCACTCGTTAAGGATGTTTAAAAGAATTTTCAAATAGGTTCTTATTCCATTTTTACACGAAAAAACTTGTAGTTCTGAAGTTGCCGGGTCAAGTTCGAAGAATAGTCCCATTCACAGTTCCCTGCGCCATCTTGAAAGGTAGCCGTGCCTCTGCATCGAAGCGAGAAGAACAGTGAGCTTGCATATGATAGAGACATGTGAATAATTGTCCAAAGTCTAGAAAAAGGTCTGTATCGTTGCAAGCTCACCGTTCGTGGATTTATGTTCATGTTCATAGATTTACTGTGTTCAAAAAGTCACACTCCAGTCTTTTAATTAAAGTAAATACATGTACCTTGAAATCCTGCGCTTTGGTATTTTGAATGAATTTAGGAAAGTCCTTATCAACCGTTAGATACTTGTTCGATGACTTGCTTGTCAATTTTTTAATTGAAATGAAGTCTCCATAGCGTATAACATCCTTGACTCCATCGCCGTCTTTATACGCAATGCATTCTTCTTTATCAATCGCAACGTTCGTGCAATAAGTGCTAAGTGCATCCTCCATGCACTTTCTCTTTTCAGGAATTCCCTTTTCTTCGACGTCTGGCAAGTATTTCTTAGCAAACAAGCTTATAATTTGTTGTAATTCATACTGGATTGGAACAGGGCGTTCAAAGGCACTTCTTCCCCATTGACGAAGAGACGCAGTACTTGCTTGGTTATCAATAGAATAGGACTCAGAAGGAGGTTCTCCGCCGATGTAAAATTCTCGTTTCTGTATGTTCATATTCTTCAGAGTGTCTGATAGTGTAGTGTCGGAACTTGAACTTTCTTCTTTGCCAAATTTGGCCGAAGCGCTGACTCCTTTCGCCATGAAACCAACACTTGCACTGACAACTTGGTTGGTACTAATTCCTTTACGCTTCAAATCCATACTCTCTGTCATATTAGAAAGAGAATGAAAATAAAGTAAGTTTGTAGTTCAAATATCGCAAAATAGAATGAGAAAACGGTTAGGCAAACAGACCCCTTGCATTGAATTCCTAGAGGATTTGTTCTGGGGGACAAAACAATAGGCCGTCTTTTCTTATGCAAAACAAAATCCATTATTTCGTCCCCCAGAACAATTCCTCTCGGATCTCACAGCAAGAAGTCTATTCTATTCAAGTTGTGTGTTGGGATACAGCAGTACATAAAATCTTGTATGATTCTTGATTGCAGATTGTACCAGTTGATGGCATGTTGATGCATGCTGGAAATATGGAAAATCACTTCATTACCAAGAACCTTTTAACTTGGTTGGTGAATATGGAGGACAGCAGGGCATCGTCGAGTGTTTTTCATCCGCCGAAAATAATAAAAATTGTATCTTTCGTAACTATGGGAAACGAGTAGAATGCATAACTTGCACCTCGGTGCAAGGTGTCTATTGGTGGTTTTCAAATATTCTCAAGGGAAGTGGTTAGTGAATATGGAGGACAACAGGACATCGTCGAGTGTTTTTCATCCACCGAAAATAATAAAAATTATAACCTTTTAAATTATGGCAAACAACGGATAAATTAGATTACCTTCAGTGGTCATTGTCAGACGTTGGACAGCCTTGGCTCCCATAGTAACAACGGTCGTGAAATGGGTCCCAAAATTTTGTATCAAACGATAATAATAAGATAAATTGCTTTTAGAACATTCAGTAGGAAGATCTTGGATGGCTTTCTGTAAATTTTTTGTAGCATGCATTTCAGTGCCTACTGTATGCAACCACGCCTTATATGCTGTGGCTCGACCAATGATATCGATGTTGACTTTCCCGCCTTTTTTGATGCTTTCTTTGGTACTCTGGTAACTTTTGCTCTGAGAAAATTCACCTGATACACTAACGAAACCAGCTAAAAGAAAATTTCAAGTTTAGTAAACAACGACAAACATTACGCAAAATATCAGAGCAAGAGCACAAACAGTAAAATAATGAATTAAAAACAAGGTTGATACTGATAAATAGTAGCTATTTAGTGAATTATATTTGCTGTCACTCAACAAGAACATTCATCACAAAAAGACAAATACGCAAGAGTCAACTATTAATCACTAAATAGTAATATTTAACAATTATTATTGGTCGAAGGCGAATAGTTGTTTTAATATTTTTAACGATGGCGAATTTTTTGAATAATGAAGAGAGAGTTTTTTCTCCCAGAATTCATTTATCTCTGCAAACGGCAAAATGCGACAAACGAGCCTGCGCATGCGCGTTATAGTCACCTGTAGGTGTACATAGCAGCATAAGACGTAAATTGAAACCAATGAACGCGCCGGATTTATTATATTCACTTGTACAAAGATATTAATTGTCAGTATCAATTTTTTTTTAAATTTCAAAGTTTTACTACTCTTAAGTCACTTAAATTTCAAATCTTCGTCTACTTACCATCGAATCCAAAACCAGCGGTTGTCTTCACGTCTTCCTTTAGTGTCTGCTTGTAATCACTCTCCGTTCGCACGTCATTAAACGAAGATGAAAACAATGCACTGGGCTCCATGATGACGTCAGCGTTATCCGGGATACGGTACTCTCCATCCGCAGAAAACCTATTTTGAAGGTATCCTAGTTCTACTGCTTGTAATCGGAAGCCTAAGATACGCCAAACACTTTTTTAGACATTTCTAGTTAATATGAAAAAGTGACGTAGAAATGACGTCACTGCAAAACTGAGGTGTAATGAAGCCTGCGAAAAATCACACGGCAGCCATGTTTATCCTCATGAGAATAAAAATCTTAGTTTCACCCGCATAAACTCATTCTCAAACTCTTGTATGCGAGGCTACGCGTGGTAGAATCTATTGTTCCAACCAACATGGCTGCCGCGTGAAAAAGGCCAATGACCTCCATTGCAATAAAAATATAAAACTCATGAATCATTGCGAAAAATGTTCTTTCTATTTGGTAGGCTGCATATTCATAATTAAGAGGAAAAATGACACTTCACACAGTTTTGCAAATTATCTCGATTCTCGGATTGGCTCAAATTTTTTTCTCAGCTCAGCTAGTTCATGTATTAGTTGTACTATATACTTCGTGTCGTGGTTGTTGATAACGTTATCTCACTGACGTCAATATATGTTTGAGGCAAATGTTACATTATATTATTGAGAAAAGAAATGACTTACCAGGATCCACTCGGCCAGATTCATCCAAAGGGTTACCAAAAAGCACGTCGTATCCCCTTCCCAGAAAACCAAGGTTCTTGGTGCTTTTTTCTGCACTAAATGGCGAATATGGTGTAGCGTTGATCTCAAATATGTCGCTTTCAGCTGTTTTAATGCCAAAAATRCCAAAAATAAGATTATTTGGTCGCGACTTGTATTTACTTAATCATGCATGCACTTATTTATACTTCCATGCATGCATCTACTTCAATATAATCAATCTTCCATCAATATCTATCAGTCAATCAATCAATCAGTCAATACGGTAGCTACACATGGTATTACAAAAGCGTTACAGCGCTTCTTAATCACACGCGCGAAATTTTGAAAAAAAAATAAAAAATCGAAACATAATAGAGTTTTGGTGAACGTCAATCAAAAGTATTTCCCATGTTATTGTCGAAACACACAAAGCTGTTAAGGGCACCGTGCCTATGGAATGTCATGGAAACGCATTGATTGACGTCCACCAAAACCTACTTCGTCACGACGGCAAATTGTTCAATTTCACGCGCGTGATTGAGAATCGCTGTAAAATGATTTGCCGTATATTAATATCATGTAAAGAATAAGCTCACATAAATAGAATGATAAGTTATATATATTAAATTATATACAAGGTCTCGAATAAGGATAAAAATATTTCTATGCAACCCTTTAAGTTTGTTTTTAAAACTACCTATATGGTTTCATCAGATTTAAACATCGCTACGCAAATAGTTCCAAAAGCTTGCACCTTGATAGGATATAAAATCCAAAAAGCTTTTTTGGGACCTGTTACACGTTGAAATTTGTAGCTGAAAATTGCGTGCCTAGGCGTTGCTCGACAGTTCCAGGGAAAGTTTGACTTACGGAACCCGTGTATAGAAGTAGGCAAATACATTCAGTTAAACCCACGTGGTCATACTTTTTCGGGTTGCGCTGTAAACCGCGCGGGTCAGCCTTTAAACATGGTACCTGATAAAATCCGTTTTTTTGCCTCCAAGCAAGCAGCTTTTGCAAGTTCTTCTGGTACTTGAAGTTCAATAGATTTTCGCTGTTCCTTTACCATGGCTTGAATTTGCTTGGCACGCAAACTGTCTAACAATTCTTCAGGAGTCTTAGCAAAAGCTGTAAATGAAAACCGTTAATAGTAATCTATTTATTAATAATGATATATTCATTAATAATAATCTATTCATTAATAATAATTTATTTATTA